ACGAAAGAAATACATAAATAAAAGAACAGAAATAACATAAAGACAGTACAAGAAAGAAAGAACATACAGACAGACAGAAAAGAAAGAAATACAAGAAGGAATGAACCACAGAAATAGATAAATAAGTAAAGAAAGAACAAACAAAAGAAAAACAATCAAACAAACAAACAAACCAACAACCAAACAACCAACCAAACAAACAAACAAACAAACAAACAAACAAACAAACAAGCAAGCAAGCAAACAAACACACAAACACACAAACAAACAAACAAACAAACAAGCAAACAAACAAACAAACAAACACACAAACAAACAAACAAACAAACAAACAAACAAGCAAGCAAACAAACAAACAAACAAACAAACAAACAGACAGGCAGGCAGGCAGGCAAGCAGGCAGACATTCAGGCAGACATTCAGGCAGACAGACAAACAGACAGACAATCAGACAAGCAGACTACACAAACAAGCGAGAAGAAAAGCAAACAACCTGTGAATAAGAAAGCCAGAAAACCAACCGCGCAGGCAAACATACAAGGAGAGAACCAAACCAACACACACGGACGAAGCAACCAGCCAACCGACCGACCAACAAGCAAGCGAGCGAGCGAGTGAGCAAGCGTGCAAGCACTCAAGCAGTCAAGTAAGCAAACACGCTAGCAGGCAAGCACGAAAGCAGGCAAGCAAGCACGCACGCAAGCGAGCAAGCATGCAAGCGCGAAAGCAAAGCAAAGCGAAGCCGAGCAAAGCAAAGCAAAGCAAACCAAGGGAAGGCAACGGAAGGCAAGGCAAAGTAAATGAACGCAAACACGCAACTGAACACATGCCGCGGTTGACGCTTGCAGATTCTCAGCTCTGGCCACATGCTGGCGGTGCTGACTATTAGCCGTCTGCCCTTGCGGAGCCCGGACGCCCAGGGTTTGGGCGAAGCAGGGCGAAGCAGGGCGAAGCTGGGCGAAGCTGGGCGAAGCACGCAAACGGTGGCCCGTTTTGGAGAGCCAAGAAAAAACAAGACATCAACACAAGCTTCGGGGAAACCAAGCTGTGGCCCGTGTACAGGACTATCCGAAATCAGCGGATTTCAACCACGGTCAAAGAGAGCTGACTGCAGTCATGAGTGGTCAAAATCTGCGGTTGTGGGCTTCTTGAACACTTTGACTGCCTTGTGAGGGGCTCTCGAAGGCAATTTGTTGCTGTTGTGAAGTAGAGCTTTCTTCCAGTGCCTTGAGAATGCCGCACTTCTGTTGGGATTGTTGTTCCAGCTTCACGCTGGCTCCGGGGCAGAGAACTTAACATTGCGCCAGCTGCAAGCTGCTTCTACAAGGCCACACCCCATTTGCCAACACAACCAACCATCAGGTGCAAGTCACAAGCGCGTCGGCTCAACGAAGATTGGGATGTGCTCAATGGCTTCTTAATGGCACAAGGGCCTCCTGATGGCCCAAGGGTTAGCCTCCGCCCTGTCAGTGTTGGATAGATATGAAGGTATGCAGATATTGCAGTCTGGCTCTTGTCGTGGCGCTTCCACAATGTTCTTTATCTTGGGAGCTGCTCCAAGTGCAGCCTATGAGCAAGTGCCATGATTTTGGGAACGTGCCATGAACATGTTTTGGCGTCGTATACCCATGTGTTCCACTGGAGCGAGGTATGGGCCTGCTATCAACCCGAGAGCCTCCAGATGTCCCCTTCCAGCCGTGACCCGGGATGCCACGGGACTGCCTTCGGTGGCCAGAGTTCGACAACCTACTGGTGCACAGGTGCATAGGAATGTTGACGTGCAAGTCATGAGTAAACAAACCAAACAAACACGTACAAGTCAGTTCCATTCCCTTAGAGCCTTCACTTACACAATGCTCAGTATACCACACTCCATTGCAACACGGCGCGCTCCACCTCATAGCAGCACACCACACCACACCACAGCACACCACAGTACTCAGTACTCCACGCTAGTCGGCGCCAGGCGACGCTACACTAGGGTGCGCACACACACACACAGACACACCGAAGAAACACAGCAAGCACACATACATATGTGCGTAAGCACATACAATTCGGATCGTTCAAACTCGCACACAAACACAGGCCGAAGAGAGAGGACTTGCAAGTAGGTTGGGGATGAATGGGCGATGGGCCATTTTTCTTTGGAGTCGGGAGGGAGCGGTCCTGTTGCACCGACCCCGGCCGGCTTTTTCATGGGATAGGTCAGGACGGATGGGCAACCAACAGTGCATTCAACAAACCACTGTGAGCATTGCCCTCAATCTTTTTCAGAGGGATACCGTGGTGATCCAATGAAAGACGACCCCATTGCCCCGCAAGTAACTTGAGCTAGGAAGGTGCTCAGACAGGAAGCCAGTCCGCTGCTGCCGCGCATGCTCAAGAATGGAAGGCCCATGAAAAATTGTTCAGACATCTATTTGCCCCGTACGCAACCGAGTCACGTTTTTAAGGAAGCGCCATGCGAGGTCACAACCGACAAATGTTTCCAAGAAAGACAACTATCCGTGGGGCGGCAAGGAATTGTGCAATGCCTTGCTGAGGTCAGTGGGTCACTGAAGTGGGCTGCGCAAATTTGGGGGGCATTGTTAACAGCTGCAATCATTTCTCCGGGCAGATGAACTAATGTGGGTGCAGGTGCAGGTGTTTCCTTCGAGGCAAGACCAGTCAACTCGTCAGCTAGCGACAGCGGCAACATGTGGCAATCTCAAGACCAGGTGGACGCACAAGTTGTTGGTTTCATATGATTGCTCTCCTTTCAAGATGAGCCCACAGGGGCCCGGGATTTTGACATACAGCGAACCAACAAGGCTCCCAGGCTGACCTTGCAACAAGTCAAAATAGAAGCCGGCAATTGTGTTGTGTAAGAGGTAAGATTGGAAGGCAATACGGCTTAGTGATCGTGCACTCAACATACTCAATGTCAACCTTCGTAGCAGTTTTCGTAGCAGTTGGAGCAGAGGCCGAGTTGTGAGGCCGAGCATGCGGGTACTTCACTCAGCCCTCCCGGGGCGCGCCCAGCGCCACGTGCCAGGGGATGCGGAGCGCCCTGCTGCTGGGGCTGCAGGCCGAGAAGGGACTGGGAAGTGGAAAGCGGCCACGGACGTGCTTTGGTTATTTCGGTTTGGGCTGCAGTGCCGTTGTCAATTGGTTTTGAGATTTTTGGGGATGGAGGCTTCAAACCAACATACAATGTTGGGATTGTACAGCCAGAAGCAATCTCCTACATGGCTTGTGTCATTTTCTCTTGAGGAACCTTCCATCTGGTTCCGTGTTCGAGGAAATCGGAGTCAAGAGCCAGCAAGTTTTTACCATAGTCTACAGTCAATTTGGGGAGGGCGGGGGTCTGAAACGCTGAGTTTCCGCGAACAAGGCGGGGCATCTCACCACCTTCCAACCCATGGTCGGTCTCCGTTTAAAGTGCTAGTGTGCCGCACATGTTTGGCCGTCTAGGTGGCTGTTGACAAAGTATGAGAGGGGTCATATCCCGGTAAACCAAAAACAGCGAGCAACACTTGTTTGCCATCTCTTCATGTGTAGTTAAATGTGTCAGTACTTTGTTTCAACTCACAGATGGCCGATGCTTGAAATGCAAACCCTTGTGTTTGAGAGGTCTGAGAGACTGCAGATGTTGTTTGATCAACAAATTGTCTCTGACCCCCAAGAACTGCCTGTTGGACCCTTGGGGTTTTGGACGAGGGTGCCGTTAGCTCACGCTTTCTGAGGCAAGACACTGCTTTTCCCAGGATGGGAAGGCCGGGACTGGGAGGAGGTTCCAGGGCACTCAAGCCAGAATGTCTGCATGCCAGCAGCTGCCAAAACCACTGTTCGTCTGCTGGACTGTTGGCTTCGGGAGCATATGATATGGGAAAAAGCAGAGGAACAATGCAATTCTCCCATGCTTGGGGAGGAGCAGTATTGTCCGCGCTTCAAGTAATGTCTAGATGCCAAACCAATGCGCAAAACAGAAGCAGAGGGATAGGACTTAATTACTACTGTTGAATGTCTTAGGTGTGTAGTGTAGCTCAGGAAACTGCTTGGCTCCTTCGTTAGCCGATTACACTGCAATTCTCTGCACATGAAGGCTCTCTTTCCAGTGCAAAGTGAAGCAAATGGAGATGGATGTTCAGAAAGCTGGCCTCGAGTTCTTTGCCCAGGATTCTCAGGCATGTAGCTGTTGAATGAATCCTGTATAGAAAGAAGGTGCTGTCCGTTGTTTCTGGGTGGAAGCTGTTTTCTCGAGCGATCCCCTACTTGGCCAGTTCGGGCTTTTATCCATGCGGGCGGGGAGCGCACTGTGCCATGGCGGCTTGGGATCCTAAGGCTACAGACGCCCGCACCCACTCGCCACTCGTCCATGCTCCTCGGTCCCTCCTTCAATGCAGCCCGCCCGCGGGTTGTAAGAATTCGACTGGCACAGGTCAAAGGGAGGTCTCCGGTTGAGTCTTTGCAGGTCACATTCCACTGTGACATCGACCTGCGCAATGCCAACTCGGCGTGGTGCGTTGCCCAGGGCTGGGCAAATTAGTTGTCCTCAATGCAGGCGCTGGAGCTCTGAATGCTTTCACCATACTGCATTTACCAATGGAAGACATGGTGTTTGGAGTGGGATAGACGTTTGCCGGCTGCATTGAATGGCGTTGTGAGTGAGAATCTCTTTTTGTTTTGCGCACCTAGGCGCAACATGAGGCTCAGGATTGTCAAAAACAGCTCAGCCCTTGTTTGATTGTCCCGGACTCATGGGGTCGCAACCATGTCGCAACCATCTTTTTCTTTTTGGATATGAACCTAGCAATGAATATAAACCATGTTCCCATTTTATCCTATGGTTGCCCACAGTTTTGCTTGCGAGTAAAAATGGCTGTCACGACATGCTGCTGAGGGCGGGAATCCCCGCATGGCCATTTTAGTCGTTGCGAGGAGAGTTTACGGGGATTGTGTTGGTGATCATTCCCTGACTGGTCACATGGCAAAGGCAACCCAGTCCAAAGCAGCTCAGAAGAATATGCCGGCCCAAAAGAGCCGGGATGTCCACACCCCGAGGTCCCGGGAGAAGAGGGAGTGGTGCTGCGAGAAGGAGGGCGTTGCCTGTGAGGCGGGGGGGGGGTTGGAGTGTCGCTCAAGGGTATGAGCGATTGAGCCGGGCGGAAACCACCATCAGCCATCCTCCCCAGCTCAATACCCGGTCTGCCGCCAAAGTCAACATTGATCACCTGTTCTGCGGTACGCTCTCCTTTGTTGTTTGACAGTCAATTGTGTTTGTTGTCTTTTGAGGCTTGCAAGGCATGCTTTAGCGCATCCGTTGACATACAATGTTGCGCCGCCTCCTTTCGCTGGGATCGTCAAATCATGCAGCTCTACACCAACATGCTGAAGCTCATCCATGCACAGGCAAACAGGACAAGGCTTGAGGAAGGAAGTTCGCGGATGATGTTTTAGCGCCTTTCTGCTGCTGAAATGTTTGCCGAGTGTTCTGTTGGCATTTGTATAATATACAAATATGCACAAGGCTTACTCTTTTGAGACGCAAAGATCTTCCCGTAGCCTTGACGAGCACGAGCCCTGGGTTGGCAGCTGAGACGGTTGGGCCACTGACGGTCCAGGTCTGCTCCGAAGATTTTAAAAGCAGCTGGCAATGCATCAAGGCTTAGCGAGGAAAGGCCTCTGAAGTAGTTTCATGAAGTTCTTTTCAAGCGTAGTCAACAGGCGCAAAGAAGGGATCTGAGTGAATCCACAGTCAAAGCAGTCTGTAAACGGCAGCTAGAGCAAGCTGGGTTGAAGTTGTCCCTATTGCCACGTGTTGCTTTCATACGCAAGGCTTCAGCTTTCAGCCATGTTACAATGATTCCCCGAATTTGAAGCCTGCTGCATGCTGTTTGCAGGATGGATTTGTTGGCAGCGTTGCTTTCGGTGGGACTTGAGGTCCCTCATCCGGTTTGTACATTTTTCTCATTCATCCTGAGTACATGATGACATGCTGGCAGGGTGTTTCTTGCCCGCAAATGCGCCCGGCATTGGTTTGTGAGTAGCCTGTGGCTCATCAGTCATATATTCTGGCAAAGAACCCATGCGTTTAGCAAACAGACCGATCTGGAGCTTGGAGCTGAGCCTGCCTGTGAGCAGGAAGACTTTCACTGCGAAGTTGCCTTGCGGAACCATGCTCTCGCTTGGCGCGTTGCTCAGTTGAATCTTTCAGAACGGGAGCTCAGAACCTGTGCCAAGCTGTATGTTTTTGAAGTATGGGTACGGCCTGCACGCTGAGCTCATGTGCAAGCGATGCGGTTCAAGCAGGTTCATGGGTGCACAGCAATGCTTTTGCCGTCTTTTGCACTTTCACATGTGTGCTTACAGTGTGTTTGTTTGCGACGTCAATCAAACTCATATTGACAGAAGCAGCTGGCAGAGAAGGCATCAAGCTTGGTTTGGATCTCTCCACTCTGCAGAGTCTTGCACTGATGTTTGTTAACTTACCACGCCTCTGCCTTTTTTTACCACTTCTGGGAGAGACCTGGCCAAGTGTACTTCTAATGTAGTGGATCCCTGGGCATCCCCTAGGAACACGGGGATGCCCCATATGAGTATGACAGAACAAATGACCCTGGCTAGTGATAATGTTTGTCTTGGTTATTTCCCACAACTATGGCTTGATCTGGCTTTGGGCAAATGACTTGCCCAGGTCTTCAGCCAAGAAGAAGTTCTGCTGCAAGACAGCAGGCATTGCATGCGAGGCCAGCTTCGGGGGAGCTGGCTGGGGTGAGCGTTTGAACCATCAAGTCCTCGGCCAATGATGTCGGAAATCGTAGCTTCGGGTTTCAAGCAATTGTCAGCATGTTGTTTGCACTTAAACAACACACACACATACTTGAATAAAATGTCCGTGGAGCTTAGACAGCCTTTTCAGAGAAGTATTCCGACATTGAGAGGTGCTTTTGGATTCTAGGCCGTGAAAAGGGCAATGTTCAGAAAGGCTAGTTTCAACCATTTCTGGTTACGTTTTCTGCCTGGGCCCCCGCTCCTTTCGTGCCATCCTTCTCCCTTCGAGCTCGGCTTTCGCCTCAAGTCGCAGGGCCTGGAGTCCATCTTCGTTTTGACCACTCAGCCTCAGGTGGACCCAGGCGCAACCCGTTTCGATCGATGGATCGTATTTGGCCCGATATCAGCCTCCTGAAGGCGTGTCTTGTTTTTTTTGAGGCTACAACCACCCGTTGGGAGGGTTCCCCATTTTTTGAGACAAACCCATGAAGCTATTCTGGTTTGTGAATGCTGAAAGCTAGATTCAGGAGGTTTTTGGGAGCAGTTTAGCCAGGACTGAACACTGGGGTTCGGTGGCCACTCATGTGACGAACTTCTTGGTCAACCCGAATATCTTTTTGGACATTCTTAACAGCGGGCAGGGTGCAGATTGAGATGGTGTTGATGCAGCCTTGCTGTAACACGTGCAAAGAGATACTTTGAAATACGTGACCATAAAATACTAATACTACTGATTCCCGTTTG